AATAGCTAAGAGTTGAACTTAATCCCTGAAAATGGTTATACGTTGCGTTCCGGTGAAAAGAAAAATTATGATGAGAAACGTAAGAAGAGATCTCAACTCTTAAATCATATCTAATTAAATGTTAACACTAATGAGATTTTTTTTTTTTTGAAAGGAAACCAGACAAATTTATAAACACTAATGAGATTTTATCGAGATACACCAGATCAATTTCCTTCTAGAACATAATTCATAGATAAACATGAAATTAAAATTCATCAAAGATTCAAATATCTTCTTACGTTTTTTTTACCATAATTTGTTTTCTCAACAATATAATTCGCCGTACGGTTATCTATACTATATTATAAAACATTTGACAAAAATTCTTAAAAACAATATTTTATGCATGAAGTACTGTATATTTATGCATATTACTTAAAATTCAATATTTCAAGTAAATTGTGCATAAGTACAATTTATTAAAGTTTTATTTTTTTTAATTTCTATAACTAACTACAGATAAACATAATCAAATACATGATAAACATCTCATTTTAAATATAAAAAACTAAAATATAATTAGGATAATCATTGAATTTTAACAGAATACTTAATTATTATCCTTATAAAAATTATATTATTAAATAAAAGTAAATTACTTTATTATTAAATCTAAATTAAATTATAATAAAAATTGAGTTAAAGAAAAATTAAACAAAAAATATGAATTTTTAAATAGTTAATTTAATATTAATATCGATACATTTTTATTCAAATGTATATTTTATTTAAAATAAAAATATTATTGTTTTTTAAAAATCACATAAAATTATATTATATCATTAAAATAAATAAATAAAATAAAATATTAAAATCAAAATACAACTCATTGCATTACTCAGGTATTCTTGTTTAATTTAAGAAACGGGGAGGGGGTTGGTTTGTTTGTTGAAAGGGATAGGAACGAAGAGGAGAAAACTCGTGCATTTTGGAAAGATAAAGACGCGGAAAGGAAGGTTTTGTGGTGGTGGGACCCACATTTTTGTTTCGTATGATGTGACGTCATCACATGGTAGTAGACAGCTAGTGCCTCAGGTTTTGTTTGGGTGCATTGCACTCCACACACATTGTTTTGACTTTGACTTTTCTTGCTTGCTGTTTGGTCTTCTAAATATATTTAATTTTAGTTTCTTTAAAATAAAAATATAAATTTTATAAAAAAATTACTTTTAATTGTTAACCGATTTTAATTAATTAATAAAATATTATCTACATTTTCTAAACATTTAAATTCAAACAATTTTAAACAAAAGGATGGTGTCTGTTTGATTTGAGTTTGAATTCAAATGTCAAAAGTATCAGAAGGTATCAGATTTAAATCCAAGGAGGAATAAAAATCCACTTTTGGCTACAGAGGTTTAAATACGATGACTCCGGGTTATCTGCAAAACAGATGGTCGTCCTGTGACTTGTCAGCTTGTATAGTGAATTTGATTTACAGGTTAATAAAAATAAATATTTCCTTCTCATAAGTAATCCTTTTTTGAGAAATCGTCAAATTTAAAGAATTTCATCATCTATTTCATACTTTCTTTATTTGGAGAAGATTTTGAAAAATCTGTTAGGAAAAAAATCCTTAAAATCTTCATTCCAAAGAATCTGTTGGAAATCCTCTAAAGACAGTAATATAAGTGGTGTTTTCTGTTCATTTAATGGCTGGAACTAGCAAAGGGTACAAGATCGAAACAAATACTTATCTTGTATTTAGATAAAGTTATCACGTCTTTTTATTAACTGAGCTACACATTAAAAAAAAATTATTTAATGCTTATTTTCGCCAAACAGTTATAATCATTATACATATCTAATCAATAATTAAATATCTTACCTGATAAATGAATATTAAATATAAAATATTTTATTTATAAATGAGTATCTTTATAATTAATTGTTTGTATTTGTTTTACGTCAATAAAAACATTAAGAATCTTAGGGTATTTATATATTATGTCGACCCTTCTTTTACGATTTCAAAATGTATTTTTAATTATATGATATTATGTTGCTTGTATTATGCTCTTCCTTATATAATTTCATTGCTTGCAGTTGTTTTAAATAATTAATAAAATCATAATATTTTTTTACGTATTTATATTATATTATAAAATATTTGACAAAAAAATTTGAAAACCATTTTTTATGCATGAAATACTATGTATTAATGCATATTACTTGAAATTTAAGATTACAAGTAAATTATGGATAAATACAACTTATTAAAGCAAAAAAATTTTAATTCGTATAACTAACTTTGGATAAATATAATTAAATACAGGATAAACATCTCATTTTAAATATTAAAAATCTAAAAATATAGTTAAGATAATTATTGAGTTCTAACAAATAACTTAGTTATTATCCTTATAAAAATTATATTATTAAACTAAAAATAAATTAATTCGTCATTAAATCTAAATTAAAATATAGTAAATAAATTGAATTAAATAAATTACAAAAGAAAATGAGAAATTTTATATATTTTTTAATTCTTATAATATCTTAAACTTTACATTTTATTAAAAAACATTATTATTTGCTCAAAACCACATAAATTCGTATTATAAAATCGACATAAACAAAAAAAATAAAAAAAATTGAAATCAAGATATATCTCGCTGAATTGCGCGAATACTTTTATAGTTTTATTAAAATATAAACGTTAATTTTTACGATATTTTATTTTAAGAAACATACTCTTAAAAATTAACGTTTTGATATCTATACTATTCAAAATCACACATTTAGTATTCAGGTGAACATTCAACCACTAATAGGTAATTAGATACTGAGTTACGTGTTTTTAAAATATAGACTTTAAAACGTAAATTTTAAAACTATACTCGATATAATATGTATTTTTAAATAAACAGTAAATTATTATTATTATAGATTGTAATTAATTTATTAAATAAATTATTTTATAATGACTGCTATTTTAAATTTTAAACTGTTTATAATGACAAATTAGTTTATAATTTTTTAATCTAATTATGTTTTAAAACATTTATTATCGTTAGTTTGAATACTTTTTCTTTTTTGTCATATATAATCATCATATGTGATACTGTATTTAACAAAATTTATTTATAACTGTATTTTGTATTTATAATTTAATCTGTTAGAAGATAAGTATCATATTTTTCCGCTTCTATAAATATACATTGTAAAAATTCATACATTTTAAATAACACATTTAAGTAAACAATAAATGTTCAATGTATCATTTAATAACAACAAAAACCTTGTAGATTATGATCAAAATTACCGGTTCCAAATAATAATTACTTAAAAATATAAAAAGAAAATTAAGATCTATTTCGGCTCATGGTCAAGAATTAAAATGAAAATAAAAATAAAAATAACAAGAAATAAATAAATTTTTATTTCCCTTATTTTAACCAAAAATGGAATTTTGGACTTTTGGATGAATAAACTCATTATATTATAGAAAACCAAACAGTTTCTTTTATTTTTATTCTCATTGATTACTGTTTAATACATCTAACCAAATAACCCAAATTATACTTTTCCAAATTTCTTGTATATATCTTCTTGATATATTATATTATCCATAGGCTTTTAATTTATCCATTAAATATATTTATATTTACTTTTTAATTCCATTGAACTTTATATTACATTATCTCCTTATTTTATAAAATAAAATAATCATATATTACCTTTTTAATTTTAAATCTAAGTAAAAGTTCTATATTGTACACATTCTGTTTGATTTATTTTCCTAAAGTCTTCTTATTTTACAAATCAATTAATTCCTACAAATTATAGATCAGTTTTATATGTTGTTTCATATAAAAATGTATACAATATTGTCCCATATGTGAAATGTTCAGGACTGTTTTTCCAACATACAAAATAGTTCTGGACAATTTATTGAGTTTGTAAATATGAAAACAACACTGTATAATCGCTACATAAATATGAAACAATACATGAAAACTTGTTTGTAAGTTTGTACGATTTATAAAGCTTGTAGATTATTATACGTTTATTTTCCTGTTACTTAATTTTATTCTTATTATTAAACTTGGAAACTTTTAATTCTGTTAAGTAATTGCATATTATTTTTAAATCTTTATCTTGAAAATCATCTGAAATGACATTTGCCGAATATTTATTAGTCTACAAAAATCAACTTCTCTTGCTTATTTTTTTTTATCAGTGTTCGGTAAAAGAATTTTCTTTTTTATCGTAAAGTTTAAAGGGTATAAGATTACGTTATTTCTATTTCAAGTACATGTAATTATCACTTTCTTTGTGAAAATGGTATCCTATAAAAGCTATTGAATTTATCCTTTTAAAGATTTGGATATACTTTGTAAAGAATATTTGTTTCATTCAAGATTTGTGATTCTACAAAAACTTTCTTTCCATACCTCCATAATTACATATTATACCCCTACGCTTACAAACCACTCGAATCGTTTCCTTCTTTTAGCGTCGTTGTTTCATTTTTCATCCTTAAAAGTAACGGTGGAAATGGATTTTTATGATGATCTCGTGCATATTTCTGATCATGCCCCCAACTCGCCTCGTGAATCATGGTTACAAGTATTATTATGAATCAATGATGTGTTTCAGTTGTACATGTAAATATCTTGTTGTATGTTGTTTTTGTGTGTGTCAAGAATGTTTTATGAGCGTCGTTTTCTTCATTAAAAAACTGTTACGACGTTATTATTTTTGAAGGAACAAACAAGTGAAAAAAAGATGATGGTAGGTTCTAAATGTAAAAGAAAGAGCAAGAGATAGTAGAGGGACTAAAAGTGAGAAAATGATTTAAAAAGGGTGGTTTATGAAAAATGAAGAAAAAAAAGGAGATAAAAAGGGATACCTAGGAAAAAAACAGTTGGATTTAATCATAAATACGAGTTTCGAATTGTTGAGGGGGACGTGAACAAACAGGGCCAAAAGGTTTCTCTTTTTCCCCGCCAGCTGTTCCGTTTCAGCAACTGTGTGTGTGTGTGAGAAATTTTAGAGAGAGAATCTAGAGAGAGAGGGATCTCCCGCCCCCATCTCCTTCTCCCCCCTTGACCTCTATTCTCTTTCGAATAATTCTGCATTCTCATAAACCCTAATTTAGTCATCAATCTCAACATCTGTGTTGCCTCAGTGCCGTCCAAGTACTCGATCTGGTAGATTCCGATTCGGTTTATGTTCGATCTGATTTTCCGCATCTGGATCACACCGAATCCGAATATATTGCTGGTAAGTACAATTCGGATCCTTCCGCTTATGCATTGTTTTTTCTAGTTTTGCAATTTGATGCGTTCGAATCGTAGTTGTGATCAAAATTGCGATGTTCATGATTATTGATGTTAGGTAATTTAAATTTGTAGAACTTGCGATCGATTGGCAATGACGGCTGATACTGAGGTAGTTTGTAACGATGTCGTTCGTAAGGTTGAAATTGAGGAGAAGTGTGTTGCTGGTTTGGATATGAGTGATCTGGACGAAGTCGGTGCTGCTGCTACTGTTGATGGTAATGTCGGTGGCAATGGTAATGTCGGTGGGGATAACAAGGAGGATACTGATGATTCTTCCTATGTGTTTGTCGGCGGTGGTATCGAGGTGACTGGTGGTGATCCTGGTGACACTGGTGGTGTTAATGTCAGTACTATTGCTCCTAAATCTGAGTCGGCTGATGAAGTTGACCAATTTAAGAAGGAAGAATTAGGTATAGAAAACAAGGGGATACCTGTTGATTCGTTGGTGTTGGAAACTAATGGCATCACTCATGCGTCTGCCACAGCAAGTGATGCTGAGGTTAAAGCTGTTTATGAAGTGACTCTCGATAATGGATCCACTTTTGATCTTCCTGTGGTGCCTGAGACTAATGACATTGCTCAGGATGCAAATGGTCATCTTGGCATGATCACAGGGGAAGAAGGGGTGGTTGTTAAGAACACCGATGAAGTGGAGAGTGCCAACGGGATCATGAATGTGGAAGCCAAAACAGATATTGTGGCTGGAGTTACTTTTGACCCAGAGCCCACTCTGAATCCAATAGAGAGGTCTCAAGTGACAGTTTTTGAGTCAGAGCCTACTATTAAGACGTTTGAGGGATCAGAATCTCATGCCACAATTAATCAATCTGTGTCTACGCCTGATCTAATCAACACCACAGGTGAGTCACTCCCTACCCTTAATTCAGTTAGGCATACAGACTGTGAAGTGATGGTTAATGATGGACTGGAGTCTGTTAGCACTCTGATTGAAAAGGCCGAATGTCAAGCAACAGTTGATGGATCTGGTAAGCCACCTGAAGATTTGGAATGTCAAGTAACAGCTGATGGATCAGAATCTTCTGGAGGTCCAATCAAGGAACGAGAATGTCAAGTGAAAGTTGATGCATCTGCCATGCCATCTGATGAATTGAAATGTCAAGTAACAGCTGACATGTCAGAATCTTCTGGAATTCCCATCAAGGAACTAGAATGTCAGGTAACAGTTGATGGGTCTGGTAAGCCATCTGAAGATTTAGCATGTCAATTAAAAGCTGATGGGTCACAATCTTCTGGAAGTCCAATGAAGGAACGAGAAGTGTCAGCAGTTGGGTCAGAATCCATTGGCAGTTCGGTTGATAACCAAGAATGTCCAGTGTCAGTTGATGGGTCAGAATCTAGTGGTAATCGTACCGAGGAAGTAGATTCTTCTACAATAGTTATCGTCTCGGATAGAAAGTCAGAAGACTCATTAATTGTGACCCCCAAGGTCGATGTAGAAGCTGAACCAAATCAGGTCTGTGGTGGGATGAAAGTGGAGCACCAGAGTGAGTCGCTATCAGCTACTGACCATTTTGAGAACAAGGAAACTCCAAAGACGTTGACTGGGTTGGGCACAGAATCAGAGGAGAATTCAGAATCAGGACTTGTTTTATCCGAGAATCCTGATGCTCTGGCCAATGGGCAAGTTGAAAAGTCTGATGGAATTTTGGAGATGGGAGAGACTCACCTGTCTCAAACAGAGGCTGATGGTGTGCCCTTAGTGTCTAATGCCGAGGAGAAATCAGAAGAGAAGCTTGAGAAGCAAGGGGAGGGAAGTTCCGAAACCCTAATCAAAATTACAGAACCTGTTGAATTGGATGCGAACTTTGAAGAGACGAAGGAGCAGCTTAAAACAGAAGATGAGATTCAGGAATCTCAAATAGTTGTTACAGACAATGTTCAAAATGATTTGGACCTGGAGGATAACACAGCAGAATCTACCACCAAGGCTGAAGCACCGTTAGAGACAGAAACTAACATTGAGTCCATCACTCATGAGATTATAGCTTCAGAATATGAAGTTAGCAGTCGCATTGATGATACTCAAGAAGTCATTCGACTGGAGATAAGTGCTGAAAATGTTGAGAAGCAAGGGGAAGGAAGTTCAGAAACAATGATCGCAATTACAGGCTCTGTTGAATCGGATGCGAAATGTGAAGAGACAAAGGAGCAGGTCAAAATAGAAGATGAGATTCCGGAATCTCATATAGTTGTTACAGACAATGTTCGAAATGATTTGGACCTGGAGGATAACACAGCAGAATCTACCACTGAGGCTGAAGCACCGTTGGAGACAGAAACTAATATTAAGCCCATCCCTCATGAGATTACAGCTTCACAATATGAAGTCAGCAGTTGCATTGATGAAACTCAAGAACACATCCAATCTGAGGGAAGTGCTGAAAATGTAGAAACCTTGCCTTCTACAGATTCTATGAAATCAGAATGCGAGAACAGTGAGTTGCTAGTTGAGAAGGAAAATGATTCACTTTCCAATCCTGATGACTCTATGGTAGTAGAAAGGAAGGTTGAAGTTGAAGCTCATCTGGTTACAGAGAACAGATCTGCTGAAAGTAAGAATTGTGGAACTGGGATTGAAAATGCTGATGATGATGAAGAAAAAGAAACTGAAGTTAAGGATGAGCCTGTTGGAGATAATTCTACACTAAGTCTCCCTGACACAAATGTGAACCCTGTCGCTGTGATTGAGTTTGGCTCAATTGGGCGTCATGAGACAGTTCATGATATGCATGACGAAGATGTGATTGATGGGCCTGATGTGGTAAATGGGGAGATGAAACCTGCTTGTGTCGCCAACAGTGACAATCCAGAACGAAATGTTGATGGTTCACAGGGAGACAGAAACAGTGACAAAATGTTATGTCCAGAAGTCGAAGACATGGATGGCGTTCAAAGTGATGAGGTTCCTACCTCTTCTGCAGAGGGTTCTATAAGCGATGCTCTTGATGTACAGAACGAAGAAGCTGAGGTTCTAGCGTATAACTTCTTGATTAGGATTCCTAGATTTGAGGATGAAACGTTTAGGGATCAGATTAGAAGTGCTCAGGTGCAAGTTGATGAGAAGACACGCCTCCGAGATGCAATCCGAGTTGAGATCCAAGGCAAGAGGGTGAGAAATCCTGAAATAATTAATTTCATATTTTGCAATAAGTTCAGAAGTTTGATTCATGCTATTTACTTGATGCTTCCTTCTGCAGGCAAGGTTGAAAGACCATAATGAGGAATTCAATACAGTGAAATTGGAGGAGACAGCTGCAAGGCGGTTGGTTAGATTGAAGCGGCAGGAAATAGACTCTGTTCAGTCTGTCATCAACAGGGTAAAAAATGCAATGTCTGTCAAAGACATCGATGGCAGGGTATGATTCACTCCTTTCTCTTTCAAACACGACTCTATTATTTTGATCATACATTGCTACATATTCTAGAATACAGTTTTGACTGTATGTTCTTGAAGCAGATATACAATATGGAACATATGATACAGCATGAAACATTGTGTTTAAAAGATGAAAAGCAGTTCATTCGTGAGATTAAGCAGCTTAAGACTCTTCGAGATCAACTAGCCTCGAATATGGGAAGCCAGGATGAGGTTCAACAGGCTTTAGACCAGAAAGATCAAAACGAGGAGCGTATGAAGGTAGGGTATCTTCTTCTGCTATTTCTTTAATCAACATCTATCATTTGCAGTAAATTGACTACAATAGATTTGCTGATATGAAGATGTGATGTAATCATGTAAGTGTAAGTGTTGAACATCCAAAAGTTCTTCTAACTTGTAAATTTGTGAGGAGGAGGGAGTAGGATGGGTAAGCATATGATCATGTTGTAGTTTCCAGACCTACAACATAATAGATTATTGATGCCTCTTATAATCCGACAATTCACCGTTGGCATTCTCATTATTTTACGGCTTAAGTTAATGATTGATTGAGAAAATGCTTTACGACCATGGAAGTCACTAACTGTTGTATTTTCTTAATCACTATTATATACAGACATTAAGGAAGGAACTGGACTCCTTAAAAGATAAGGTTTCAAAAGCTGAAGCTGTTGTCATAGCAGTGGGGAAAAAATACGACGAGGAAAGTAGAAAGGAAAGAGAATTGCAAGCTCAGTTCAGAGCTGCGGATGATGTTCGTCAAAAAGCATATGCTCATTTAAATAGTTTGAAGAAACAAACATATGACAAGGTTTGTTGTGAATACATCTTACAGATCTGTAGCAAACACGTATATGTTACTAAGGCACTTAATTGCATAATCGATGGGTGTTATTGGCAATTATTTGAACTGTGCATCTGTACGTAATTTCTGCATTTAGAATAATCACAATATCTGTGCATAAACTTTGTAATGCTGTGAAACATACTTTGGATTGAACCTTACAGAACAGCTCTTGGATACCAAGTTCAGGGCTGTTTGGCATTAACATGCTTTGCTTGACGTCTCATGCTATGTGGTTGTATTAATATTGCTACTGTAAATTGACATTCTAGTATGGTAAATAAGCAACCATAATTAAATGGGGGTAGGTTCTGATTAGTAAACCATGTTATTATATATGCTAACATTTTTTTTAGTTCTTCGATCCGAAATTTATCCTGAGACGAAGCATGTTTGCATAACCTTTCTTGGTCAGTGTCAAATTTTTTTAAAAATGGAAGGGTGCACCAAAATTAAATACCGTATTATGAAATCAGAGTACAGACATCTATGTTCTACCCATTCATCTCTCTCAATGACGAGCATCCAGCATCTCCTCTTTTTTTGTTGGATATAGACTTCCTCATTACCCAAAGTTGAACACAACGACGAAATTTTACTTCAAATGTTGCAACTAGTCCATCTATAGACTAACTCGTTGGTTATTCTTTGTTTGCCATCCAATCATGTTGAGAGTTTGATTTGAATTATTAAAGTGAAATGCCTATAATGACAGTAGGATCTGAGTCAAACTCATTAAGAGCCCTTAGAAATTATTAATTTTGAAGCATGTATTGTGTTGAGGACTATATTCACCTTCTATTCCCCTACTATTTCATGTTTGTGAACCGTATGGTCATTTGGACATCCTAGTAGAGTTGTTGATGATCTCATATATATTGTGCGCTTGGCATAGTTTTGGTTATATCTGATCTTTTTTTTTCGCTATGTATGTTTCTAAGCTATGCACAATCTGGTTTCTCAATTACCAATCACCCATGGAAGGAAAAAGTTCATGTATCTAAATGCTGTTACATTTGCATTGACTTGTATTGAGGACTGTATTCATCTTTTTTTGCTCACAATATTTCATATCTGTGTGAACCACAAAAACCCACGTTATTCATTTATAGGATGTGTTTCTCTTTGGTCAAGACTCGTTGAATTACTTGTTTGATATGATTAATATTGCCTTTTTCAAGTTTATCACTTTTGTATATAAACATATCTATAGTGATATTAATAGATTTTCCTTGAACTTACACCTAGTCATGAGCGTTGTATTGGAAACTTTAATTACATTTATACCTCAGACGAAGTTGCAAATCTTGTAGTTATGTAGCCAGGGGTCATAAAAAGAATCAAACTAGAGACGTCATGCCTGATACGGTGTTGAAATAGCCATGGGGCTATCCCTCATAGGTCAACTCCAAATCTGTGTAAATATGAATTAAATGAGAAAAAGGAAAATAATGTAGCCGACCTCCACCGCTTGTGACGAAGTTTGAATTGATTACAATTATACATTTATTGTCCCGTGATAGATTCTCACGGATAGTGATTATGAGCATGTATGATCGCACCTGATTTTGATACATTTTCAAATTCTTATTAACTTGCAATCATAAGTGAATTTATTATAACTACTTCTCACACAAATATGCATATTTATGAAAATAATAACTTTTTTGTTTTAACCATGCAGAACAAAAATTTCCGCCTGTACAAGGAAGATGTAATGGCAGCAAGGGATTTTGCATCACGTGGAGATAAAGATGCACTTCATCGTTTATGTGCAAATCAGGTTGTTTAAGTAATTAATTTCATTTATGGTATACTTTGTAATTTAATTTACTTAAGGGAACGACATAGCACATTGGTGTGTTACTTTCTTTTTACCTGAATGTCACTTCCAGACATAAAGCTCACGTCTGCTTAGTCATACCCCCTTCCTTCGAAAAAAAAGGGCTTAACCTCCTGGTGGGACATATGGTTTTTCACTTACAGGCATAAGGGTCGACAGGTCTTTCTTTGTTCTATGTTCATACTCTGGGATTTACACTCCATTTATTGTAGGTGGAGGCATTTATGGAACAATGGAATAACAATGCCGAGTTCAGGAATGAGTACATTAGCAGGTGCAATATGAATGCAAGCAGAAGACAGAGGACGTTGGATGGAGGCTCACTTGGTCCTGATGATATATCCCCCGTGCTGCCCAGTAATGTAAATGAAAAAGTTGATAGGAGTCTGGTTTCTGTACCAGGTGAAGTGAAATCCGTTACATTAGTTTCAGCTGTTGAACAAGGAAAGATGGTTTCATCTACTGAAGATAAGAATGCAGCAGATCATAAATCTACCGAGAATTTATCGGGCCAAAAGAATCAAACCTTGAAAACCAAGGGTGTTGTCAAACTTGCTTTGGGAAGTGATACGGTAACGGTTACTGGGAGGGATGAGAGTATAGACAATGGAAAGGAGGAGGAGAATACACTGACAAAAGAGGAGATGGAGATGGCCAGGAAGGCAGAGGAATTGAGGAAGGCAGAGATTGCAGCCAAATTAAAAGAGCAACGCCGGTTGGAGGAGAAGGCGAAGGCGACTGAAGCACTGGAGAGGAAGAAACGAAATGCTGAAAAGGCCCAAATCAGGGCTGAGCTGCGAGCCAAGAAGGAAGCCGAGCAAAAAGAGAAGGTAAGTTTTAACTGTCTTTGGGTTCTTTGTGGTAGCATTTGTCTTTCTACTCGATATGCAGTAAACTGCACTATAGTGATAGGTAATGTCATGAATTTTATGTTCAGCTTAATAATTACCATATCTACAGTCATCGGAGGTTAAGGTGCACCTAGTAGCGAAAGGCTCTGTTTGGGTATAGGCCTAAGGAGAACTGGTAGTAAATTTGAGCAAAAGGTTGATTAACAGCAACCCTGACCAGCCCGACACAGAACCCGCCCCCTAGAAACCACATGTGAGGGAGGCATTTCAGAGCTGATTTGGCGGTTGAGGCTAGTGGAGGGGTTCGAGGCTTCGAGCCTGCCTCCTGTAGGATTCGAAGTTTGAGTCTTTTGTCTATTTGAGCAAAGTTGCTCTTCCCTGTGCCAAATGAGCTACATGCCCGAGGGCAGAACTGGTAGTAAGTTCACTAAATTGATATACATACTGACTGAAACTTGTAACTATAAGGGGTCCTTTCGTTAAATCATAAATGACCCATTGACAAGTTTTTTTTTTGTAATCCACGACCTGATAGGTTTGAGAATGCCATTGTGTAATAGAAGAATGCCATTTCATGCACTAGAATGTTTAGAAACCTGTCAGAAGGTCATAGATTTGAAAAACATCTGTGAGGAGGTCATTTAGCTAAATAACCCTAATTGTTAGACCATATATATTTAGGATGTCCACCTAAAGGACTTTCGCAGTTATATTGGAAAATTTCTCACTTTTTGGCTTTTTTATATAGCTTAACATTGTGTATAAGGTGATAGGCTAAGTGGAGTAGGAAATTGTGCTTTACAACATGACACATTTAGATGTAACTTTTTAACAATTAGGTTAGCGTAGTTGTCTATTTTTTCATTTTTTAAAGAAGACTATATATTTGTGCATTGATAAGATCCTGACACTATCTTAATGTTAAAGTGGAAAAAAGAGTCTTTCTGGACTTCAGTTTTTTTTTATTAACCTAAATATCCAACCCGCTATGCGAGTCGACTAATTCCAGGGCGACCATCTGCTTTGCAGATAGCCCGGAGTCATCGCATTTGAACCTCCGTAGCCACTAGGGGATTTTTATTTCTTCTTAGATTTGAACCTGGGACCTCCTGATACTTTTGACCTTTGGAGCCAAGCTCAAACCAATCATGCACCACCCTTGTGGTTTCTGGACTTCAGTTTTGGCACTATCTTAATCGGTCCACGGCTTTTTTGACTGCATTGACCGGACTGTTGACCAGACCGGATCATCTTTAACCAGTCCGTGCCCATTTCTATTTAGTGCCTCAAATTCTACATTTGTTAGTGATTGGTAATTATCATTCTTGATAGGATTGTTAGTGAATAGCACCAAGGCAGGTGTTGGTTCTGTATATAGAAGTGTTGTACATAATATATGTTCCCTTCTCGCTTTTGAATCAGAGATAATTACTAGTAAAAAATGTGAGATTTTTATTATTAAACAAAGGGGAAGGGATGTCCACATCAAAAAATTCTAACAGTAGATGAAGGAAGTTTCATGCATATCATGAGATCAATTTTTTGAAGTGTTTAGACGAGTGGCTCATAAACTGCAACAGATGTCTTATAATCCGTCCGTATAAATATGTGATGATTTCCATAAAACTTGAGTTTGTGCAGGAGAGAGAGAAACGTTTAAGAAAGAAGGAAAAGAAGAAGGCAGGAGGAGATGGCAGCATCAACGGGGAAGAAGTTGCAAGCTCAGAAAGTTCAAACGAGGCACCAGCCAAGGGGACGGAAGCGGTTAAAGAGATGACAAAGAAAAAGTCATCAAAACCACCACCACATTTCTTCTCGAAACAGCTGAAGCCGAAACCCGTCCCTCCACCCCTTGCAAACAGAAACAGGAAACGATGGCAGCAGTGGGGGAAACTGGTTCTAGCGGCTGTCGCCATCCTTGCCTTGTTTTTGTTGGGTAACACCGGCTTCTTTCTTAATCTTAGGGTCCTTAATAAGGCCAATGGCGGCATCTAAATTCCTGCGTACCGTGTGCTCGTTTGTTTGCAGAAAAGAAGAATCGATATAGAGAATTTTTTTTTCTTTCTTGGATTGGGTTTGAGTTCTTTTTTTCTTCTTCTAAAAGATCTATAGATATGCATTAATGAGTTCTAATAAGTTTGGGCTTTTCAAAAAAGTTAGTTTTGAGTAAAGTTATATATAGACTTTTAGTTTTTGTAATATGTTGAAGTTGGAAGGAAGTTATAGGGGAACCTTTGAGTAAGTGGTGGTATTCCTTGAACGATATTAATAAGCCTGCAGCCTGGGTAAGTTAAGTTTATATCATTCCTTGTGCTGAACATTCATTTGCTTTTGTCTGCACATTCTGAATCTGCACCACCACTTAATAGCTGCTGCAGACATCATATTCATGTCTCACCCACACCAATATATCAGTTTCATGATTGCTATGGATATTACGAAAATATGAAATCATTATAATTTTTAATTAATTAAAAAAATAAATTTACTCTTAATAATATAAATGTAAACTTTTTTCAAGTTATAATTAAAGGTAGGATGAGAAAATGAATAAATATTTTTAAAAGTGGATACTTTTTTTAAGATAAACTAAGAGGTTGTTTGTTTATCTCTTAATAGTTTCATTAAGAGACAATCTCTAAATCGTTAAGAGGTGAATCTTGTTTGGCAGAAAAAAAAAAAAGTCTCTCTTAATGGTTTCAAAACCCTCTGAATGATTTCGTATCATGTATCTCCCTTAACCATCAAGAGTGCTAATTTCATTATATACAATTACCAAACAATTATATTTTATTTTGCACTATATCATGAGAGCCTATTAGTCATTCTGATCACTTAATTAATGTACATCAAACCATACAGCAATTGCTAAAATAGAGATAGACACTTATTTTGAGACAAACGAAAATATAGATAACACTTATTTTGAATGAAGAGAGTAATAATATAGACGTTTATTATAATAAATTTTTTTAGCAAAAGAACTTAAGAATGCTTGTTTTAGATAATCGAACAATTCAATTTTTTTTATTGATTACAAGCTAATAATGTAGTTTGGTTAAAATTAGTCTATCATACAATATAATTTATCAATAAAAAAATACTTCTGTTTAATTATAAAATTATTAAATATAAAGATATTACAGAAAATCCGTACAACAAAAAAAATGATAAACTTAAAATACGTTATTTGACATTAAAAATATATAATATAAATAATTTAATAAAACATAAATAATTGATTTGTATTTAAACCAGACGAAAAATAAAGTTGCACACCAAGAATGTCAATGGCCAGAACTATCGTTTGCTTCAGTGATAATGTTAGTCAACCTTGTATATCCTTTGACTCAATTATAGTCAACAATTTCATTTTGGATTCTTTTTATACTATATAATAAATATATGTATGTAGATACGTATATTAAGGTAAAAATACACACACTCATATATAAAAAAAAGTGATTTTCTTTTAACCATAAAAGTAGTGTCTGATTGGTTTGAGCTTGGACTCTAAAGGTCAAAAGTATCTGGAGATCACATGTTCAAATCCAATGAGTAATAAAAAAACCCCTTGTGGTGACGGATGTTCAAATGCAATGACTCCGGGCTACCTGCAATGCAGGTGGTCGTCTTGGGATTAGTCGGCTTACATAACGGGTCGGATCTCCAGGTTAATTAAAAAAAAGCGGAATGATTTGTTTGAGTTGTATGTTATTTTTATTTTGCAACATTGGTTTATACGACATAAGAAAGATAAGGACGTAATTATGGAACAACCTTGTTTCGACATTTATGTTTTTGTCATCATGGTTTGACAACCCTTATAAACCTACCAGCCTAATGCGTTTAACAAAATCTGTTGTCAAATACACATATTACAAGGTTTTAAATGACATGAGGCGTGACATTAAGTTTCAATCTCAAATTTTAGGAGCTATGATGAGGACTACAACTTTTTCAAGGCTTGACTTATAAGGGAAATATGTATATTATAAATAACACATACAGTGCATACGTATGTTTTTTTACAATTTTTCTGATATATAACCATATAGAAATAGATTATACAGTAAAACGTAAAATTAACATTAGACCATGACATGTCACGAGTTTAACATGATGTCAAACGTAAATTACTTTGCTCACAACAGCAATCATAACACTCTCTTTTATGTCTGTGTGTGAGTATATATATATATATATATATAGATATATATATATATATATATATATATAATCATGTTTTATTTTCAAAACATTGCATAATCTTATTCCAAAAATACCGAAATCTAAATTTTATCAATTATGGTTAATCAAAAAAGCATAACATACACATGTGTAAGGTTTATAATGTAGAATATGTAGAGAGTTAAAAAATTTGTAAGAAGACGAAAAGTTTCAATATCATATATGATTATATTTTTTAGATGTATTCAATTATATATGATTAATTAATCATTTATCTGTTATCAATGCTACATGTGTTTTAATCACGTATGGTTAAGCTTGTGTGTAATGACTATTATCATATATGATATTAAAATTTTTCATATTCTCCCAAAATGATTAACTTCTTATTTGAACCTCCCCCTCCCCCAACAATAGATGGATCTTGACCATTGATCACATTTAATTTCAAACTCATCAATAAATCACACTTGATACGGATATCAATCCAGTGCATTTGGTGCATCTCATCCTAATATGCATTCAATAATGAAGATCTTATTTTACGTTTCTCATGTCAACTCTTCTTAATTCTCATTATAACCAAATCTTATAAATATATATATATATAGACACACATATATATAGATTATGTATGTATATATGTGTGTGGGGGGAGGTTGGGGATGATAGTGTTAGTTACGTGTATGAATTAAGAAAGGTGGGTCACGTGGTGTTGCTCACTACTTACATCGAGGAGTGAACCCCCTTCATCCAGCCCCCAGCCTCGACCGCCGACATCCCCCAACGCCCCTCCTCCTAAATAAAGGTTTACGAGGTTTCTTTCTTATCAAATCAATTTGTTCTTCATTTTTTACTAAACTAAACTAAACTTCATTTACCATTTACCCTTCAAGAATCTGTCGTTATTCAACCAAATTTCATAATACGAAATCATCACAGTTTAACCTCTATAATCATAGTTTAACCTCTATAATCATAAAAACTTTGATATCATCTATAACACGATTTACTTCTAAACTCAATTTAAGTCTACAAGTCTTCAAGTGAAAAAACACACACATTGTCTTTGACCTTGTGGATCTCGACAACACCAAACACCATCCAGAAGTGTCTAGATGATAACGATCAAAAGGGACATATATATATATATATATATATATATATGTATAGTTATGGGTTGTTTTTATAAAACGATGATATTTGGTTAAAAGCTTATTGAAATTGATAAAAATGGAATCATAGTTTATAAATAAAAATAGGATTTAAAAATAAAAATAGAAATATAGAAAACCACATAATAAAGTTAAGGATAAAAAGAATGAAGAAAAACTATAGATAAGACAGAAAAGGAAAGGAGTTGTGGCTGCCGAGACACGTGGACCGTCATCATATTAACACAATTTGATCTTCATATATTTATTAATATTATCTTTAAATAACTGATTTTAATTATTTTTTATCAACAAAATAAATTGAATGGATATAGTATTGATTTTATTTGGCGATGAGAGAGCATTACACGATGACCAAACTGACTAGGTGCGGGGCGGCGGAATGTGATTCTAATCCGACGGTTCTCATCGTCTGGCTCCACTTCACCGAATCATCAAGTAAATTAGGTTACCAAAAAAGCATTTATGATCCCATGGATGTCCTTCACTACAAGATCCTTTTCCTCCGTTTCTGTCCGTTGATCATAAACCCCACGTCATCTTTCCATAATTGTCTTTTGGAATTTCCTTTTTAAGCCCTTGTACTATCGAGCTTATACATGATTCCCCCTTTCAAATGTCTCCTGCACTAACCCTCTTGCTTCTTCACTTCACAATTCCCCCATTGGGGACACGTGGATGTCTGCCTTTTAATTGGTTATTTTATAATAATTAAAATTCTAAAGAGTAATCAACTTAATAAATCTTTACTAAGATTAAGGGTAATATAGTAACTTTACACAATCCTATAAATTGTGTTGTTTATCGTTGTTTATCTCTATCTTGTTCAGTTTTCTGCATCTCGCTGAACTTACGTGTTATTTATTGTTTTTACAGTATGTTTTTCTTGACGTTTCAAAAGAAAATCAAACGTCAAGAAAAACAAACCATTTGTAACCTTTTGCTTCATTATGCAAATTCAGTAATGTTACTGGGGTCAAACCAGATGTTTTAAAACTAAGTACGTGTTATTATCATGACTCTTTTTTTTCAATACCGTAAAAAGGGATGAAAAAGAACAAAAAAGAACTTTACATTTTGTGTTTATTCTTTTGCATCGAGTAATTGAGACAAAATATGAGGCTTAATTTTGTCATACGGTACACAGATCCTTAAAGTTTGATATCAGTGAATTATATTTCAAGAACTACAAAAGGGTATCTCTTTGCCAATGGAGTAAGTAGTTCATCGCTTTATTGATTCTATAGAATATGAGCAAGATGCTAATTCTATACCAGCTTATTACCGATGTCTAATTCATGAAACCGATTTGTTGTGAAAGCAATAATTGATATATCTGAGTGATGTGTATATATAATTTCCATTGTGCTGCTTTTCTAAAAACACCATTTAAAACAAGACCAAAAGAATCTTATAAACTTTCAGTATTTTATACCATTAATCAGTAACCGACAAAAGATAAACCCATCTTAGCGTAGAAATTCTTACATCTAAAAGAATAACATATTTTCAACGTTCATAGCATAAGTCTTTCCATATTTAAAAACCATTTTGCAGGATAGTTTCTCACGTTTGTTTGTGGGTATCGAACCATCGTTTTACAGTATTTCTACAAGTCTGATAAACTTGTTAATACAAATCAACGTGAAGACATCTTTTTTGAACTTTTAATATATAATTTAACCTGATTCTGATATAACTAAATTTACCTATAACATCATCTTTTATATACTAGAAGGATGTTCAAACGAAAACAATGACCAAATAAGAGAACACGAAAACGGCAAAAAAACACATGCAAAATCACATGTGATTTTATACTAACCTCAACGCAATAGTGTGCGGGCAACATGTAAGAATCAGATTCACATGTGAATAATAACCAAATAAAAGAATAAGAAAACGGTTGAATTACATGTGATTTTCCATTAAAATCACATGTAAAATCATATGTGATCCATGCAACCTAAGGTCGTAGGCCTTGTCGCCCTCACATTCTTGTAACGACTATTAATGTAAGTGGGTGTTTGGGATCACTTATTTAAAACAAGTTATGGTTTTTTTGTAAAAGTGTTTATTAACCTATGTGGTATTAAACTGGAGTTTTAAAGTGTTTAGATTAGCTTATAGCGGTACCAAAAAACAATAAGTTGATGAGTTGTTTTTTAGTGTTTGGCAAATTTTGCTTATATATGTAAAATGACCAAAAAAGACAGTCTTTCATATTATTAACAAAAAATTATATCAATAAGATTAATAATTAACAAACATTAATAAAACAGAGTTAAAGTGGTAAACTGGTAATAAACAGTTTTTCATTAGTTAAGAATAATTAACTTATCAAAAACTGTTTATCGGTTTAGCATCAATATAAACAGTTTTATTTTTCCTCATCCAAACACTAGCATTTAGCTTATCACCAGTGTCAAACTAAAATAAGTCAAAAAAGCCACCTAAAATCATATGTAATTTGACTGTTTTTATTATTTTTTTATTTAATTATTGTTCTCGTATAAACCCAAGTGTTATATTGTATCAATTTAAACATGAAATGCAGTTACAAAAGTCGTATAACCAAATCCACCACTATGTGTTATTGCAAAATAGTGGAGGGTTAGAAAAGAAGCCAACCCAAAAGTTATATATATATATTGATATATATAAAATTAATTAATTAAAAAATATATAAAAATATAAATAGTCATATATGACCGCCTTACAAATTCCTTTCAATCCTTTTCGAGCTTCCCCAGTCTTTCCTCCTTCTCTCTTCACCGTCTGCCTCTCATTCATATACGTTTACACACACACACACACACTCCAGAACCCTCTTCGTTGATTGATTCATCCATTTCTCTTCAGGTATTTCTCTTCTCTCTAGGCTGTGTTCTTTTGCCGACTCTGTGTTTCTTATATATATGTATTTATATATGTTCTCATGGTTGAATGTGGGTTTTTGTTTTGATATGCTTTTGTTGATTCAAAGGGTTTGTTTCTCATCGTTTTTTCGGATTTGGGTTTCTGTAAAACAGGGTAAAGATTGAAGCTTTCAAGTTTAATCTCGAGAAAGCCATGGTACTTGACGTTTTCTTCAACTCTAACACAGAGCTGTTTAAAGATCGAACCTTTGTTCTGTTTTGTTTGATTGATTATAACGATATCTCCATTGTTGATCCTTTGGTTTTTTTACTTTATCTGAATGCTAAAAGATCGTTGTTTGTGATTAGGTGAGTCCAATCGGAAAAATGGAGCGCCAAGAATTTGGTCCGCCTTGGTTGATACCAATGCTAAGAGCTGATTACTTTGTTACTTGTCGTTTCCATGGAGATGCCAATAAAAGCGAATGTAATATGTATTGTTTGGATTGCTGTGGTAATTCCCTCTGTTCTTACTGTTTGACCCATCACAAAGACCATCGTGTTGTTCAGGTAAATTAGTGACAAAAATTCATGCCCATTATCTGTTTGATGAAATGCTTGACTCATGTAATGTATTAATCTTTTGAATGTTTTTCGTGATCGATTAGATTCGGCGATCTTCGTACCATAACGTGGTTAGGGTGAATGAGATTCAAAGATATCTGGACATTTCTTGTGTTCAAACGTACATTATTAATAGTGCCAAGATAGTGTTCTTGAACGAACGACCACAGCCTAGGCCCGGAAAAGGAGTCACCAACCATTGCGAGATTTGTGGCCGGAGCCTCGTCGATGCTTTTCGGTTTTGTTCCCTTGGTTGTAAGGTATACAAACCTTCTTCTCTTTTTGTGCATTTGTGTAGTTTCTTTCTGTGTGTGTTCTGCATATAGTTCATTGCGTATTGTTAGGATCGGTAATCGCAATCGCAATCGCATCAAATGAACCCAATATATCCCACTCAGATTTTTTGAATAATCTATGATCACGTCATTGCCTACCAGCAGAATGCCACTCACCCAAAATACCCCGGAAACCTGTCAGAATGTCATGGATTTTAAAAAACGCATTTGTTTTACCAACTAAACCGATGTATACAATTTTCGAGGATAAAATCGTAGTTCTTAGATATGTTAAATTGGACACCGAATCCCCACCTACTCGGAAAGGAATGGTGCATATTCATAGTTCCGTTTATATTGTTTATAGGCTTGTTTGTCGTATTAGTCTCACGGAAACAGCCTCCCGATATTCTAGTGGTCAAGGTAAGGTTTGTGTAGATCGTACCTCCCAAACCTTTACTTTTGAGCCAGGTATATTCGTCTGGTTTGGTTTGGTTCGAACTGGTGACTGATTTGTGGTTATTTGACATGGTTAGCTCGGGGGGATGAAGCGTGGTGACCGGGAGTTGAGCTTCACTCAAAAGATGAAACACGGCCGTGAAGCGTGTGAACCCGATGAGCCGGTGACACCTAAGAAAGTTCGAAGGTCACATTTGTTCAACCAACTTATCGAAACCCCAATGTTTCAGTACAATCCTTATGGGCGTAACGGATCTGATATGTCATGTTCATCAACATCCGGAGATGAAACCATGAACAACATGTCTCCGGGAACACCGCCGATCTTTAACCACCGAAACTCGAGCCGGAGAAAGGGCATCCCTCGGCGCGCACCATTCTAAACGGTCGGGAACTCAAGATCGAGTGAATCATAGTCATCAACCTTGTAACTTCCATCTGGTGGCATTATCATATCTTGGGATTATGGGTTCAAATTCCTCCCTCCTTCTAAAGGAAGGTATACATATATATATATATATATATAATGTATATATATAGACATATCAGTATAGTTGTGAAAAGATGATACATACTGGTTGCTATAAGTTAGAATAAGACTTTGTGGTTGATTTTTTGTACATTTATGTTTTTGATTTTTGTTGAATTTAGGAAAAGAAAAAGGTATAAGTTAGATTGTATATGAAGTGTACATAAGTAGGCACTTGAATCGTATGTGTACGATACAGTGAACGTGTTTTACGTGCCATAGCGACTTGTTCGAAACTTACAGTAAACGAATGTGTGTATATATATAATTCCAATATCGGTTAAAAATCCGTGTTACCCGTTGTCGTTTTACTTGATTTGGTATCATATCTTTCAGTTCGAGTTTTTATCTTAACTATCGGTTTAGATTGTTATAATAATGTTCGAGATTTGCAGTCGTTCGGTTACAAGTGTGATGTTTGTATGGCTGCGACAGTTTCGGTAGTCTTGTTTGTTTGTCGAAGGAAATCCCTCTCCTTTGCACCGAGACCGGATATAAATATCGTAATAGATTGTTTCATACGATCGAGTTTACAGGATTGAATTGAACCTTTAATCTTCTAAGAGGCCAATGACTCACATACCGTTTGGTCAGAGGCCCTGTTTACGTTGATCTGTTAGGACATTTAGACATTTTAGGCGTATTTATACAGATGGTTGGAGCTTAATGGACATGTATTGAAATGTGGGTGATGTAGAAGAGACGTAAAGGATGTGAAGTGCTTTATGGAGATAAAAAAAGAGAGAGATGGATTAGAAAATGAGAGGTTTGTTTTATAGTGTGAATGGAAGACGTCGTTTTCTTAACTCCCATGGTTAATGAATGGTTACGTTTATGTGTCGTTCTTTGTCGTTTTTATTTTCATCAAAAATAGAAAATTATTACGTAGACTTTTTGGCTTGAATCGACATGTGTCGACTATAACTTGGACTAGGCTCGTAAACGATGCAGATCGAGCTTCATGGGGTTCACATATGCCTCGGTGGTGTTATGTTAGGCTTAAAGTCGATTCTAATATGTTTGCTAAGAGAGAGAATTTGGAGATATTTATGCTTCAACAGGATCTTTAAGGACTTGTTCCTTAGCAACTTAACGAGCTTAATGGACTCGCAACTTATTTGTTTAGCTATATATTATTGTTTGACAGTGGTTTAATGTTATAGAAAGTGGGTTATTCAGTAAGCTTCTAAAAGGAACTTCATGCAGAAAGTCAAGTTTTTTTTTTCTAAATTTATCATTCGATTAAAAAAAATATGTTCCTTCCGTCCATGAAAAACTTTCCTAAACAAAACATTTTCGATCTATACAAACAAATTAATCCACAGAAACAACTTTATCATATAAGACTTAATAGAAAACCAGCCAAACAATCTCTAAATATTTCTCTTAAGATTTTTTTTTTGTTACATCCAATGATCCACAATAATTACTAAATGTTAGAAGAAACAAATGATTTTCTCTGTTCTCTTATTGTAAATTACGATTATTAATTTATAGAATATTTTAACAATATAATTAGTTCGAATATCTATTGGAATTAGAGATGGCCAAAAACCGGTCCCGGGCCGGTCCCAATCGGTCCTCACCATTCTCATAACTGGTCATAACCGGTCCCGGCGTAACCGGTCCCGGTCTCGGTCCCGGTCGAAAATGATAGGACCGGTATATGTACTTTATAACCGGTTATGGGCCGCCGGTCCCGGTCCCGGTCCCAACCGGTCCTTCATTAAAAAAATAAGATTTTTTATTTTATTTTTTTAATGATATATATTTTTAATACATTATAAAATTTACAATTGGGTCACTCAAATACACTTTAAAAATGCGTTTTAATATAATTAAAATTATGTTTTCTTATAAAAATACATTATAAAATTATTTAAAAATACATTTATTTATAAAATTAATTGAATTTTCGGGCCGGGCCGGGCCGGTCCATAGTCGGTCCCATAACCGGTCCCGGTCCCACGAAACTACCAAAAACCTCAACCGGTCCCGGTTTTCGGTCCCATAACCGGTCCTTACCGATCCCGGTCCAGGGCCGGTCCTTTGTCGGTCCCGGTCCCGGGCCGGGCCGGGCCCCTTTGGCCATCTCTAATTGGAATTAAATGTAAATTTTAACAGATTTATATAAAAATTTCTTTAAAATGGAAAATCAAAAATCAAAATCTTTAACAACATTACATTAACTCCAACAGTTTTTCCAGTTTGAAAAATTATATTATTTATTATATAATTGAAATTGTGGGGTTTCAAAACAACTTGAAACCTCGAAAATGCAGCGGAAAATATTTTAGGTTACATAAAATAAAGAACTTTTCTATTAAAATAGAACTCATAGCCAGATCTAATAACAATAAAATCGAATCTGAACAAACTATAAGTTGTTTAGAATTGTATCTTTCAGATCTTTGGTCGGCTCTGACTATGCACTTAGAAAACAAACAGGTTCCATCCATCAATAACCCACACATGAACACGTTTTGTGCATCCACCCGGTGCTAATCCGAAACCCTAGATCTAATATGTGTTTTTACAGAAAGAAAAGATTTCTTTTCTGTATTATTTGATAATTATCATAATTACAATTTAACACATGTTTATAATTATCATGCAAGAATAATTATTTTAAAATTAACGTGATTTAAATCTGATTTTTGAAAAATACAGATAATTGTTTTATTTGTATGTGACAATACAGATTCACATACTATTTGGCAGCGTTCGTGTGTGTGACATGTATCATGTACATAAAATAATAACTTACAAAAATATTTCACATTTCTTTTCAATATTTATTATTAATAGAATATAATAAAAAAACATTTATCTCTCATTATAATCATTTTCAAACAGCTTTTCATATTTTGAGAAAATTTTAAAAAATCTATTGGAAAAAAATTGCTTAAAATCTCCAATTTTTTCATTTAAAAAAATCTGTCGTAGATGTTCTGTCGGTTTTTAATTTTTATAGTTAATAAAAACTTCAAAGTATTTATCTAAAATAATTTCAATAAAAAAAATTAAAAATCTCATCCTTTAATTATAAACTTTTTAATTATAGGTTTGTTTTGGCTTTACAAGACAATCCAAGTATTATATTAGACAGGTGACAGCCATATTTACCTTTTTTAGTAACAAAATAATAAATAATAAATAATAAATATACTTTATTCCTCTTGGCAAGTCGGTAATGACTAGGTTAATTGACTCCATAAATATATTTATAAAGATTTGGGATCATATGAGATCAATATGTTTTCGTGAGATTTGTAAAGCCATTTTTTTGCATTTGAAATTTCAAAGCAAAATGCTGTGAATGTAACATTTATAGTGTTTTTGTTGTGAAGATACCTTTAGAGTGTTTTACTGTGAAATTTCAAGTATAAAAATATAGTCTCACGGATCTCACGAAAACAGGTTGAACTCAACTTTATTTATAATTTACAAGTCAATTAATATATATATATATATATATATATATATATAATATTTTAAAGAGACGTATAAAATGGGCAGTCTACTTTAGGAAGAGGCCTACGTACCACACCTTTTTATTATATCATGCTCATATATATTAACAATAACATATTATAAGTAAACAAAATGAATTTTTTTTTATATTTTATTTAAATCATAAAAATTAATTAGTTTCGTTTTTTCCCTTTTTTTCTCTCTCATTTCTATCTATTGCACATAATTAAATATACACACTTTTCAGGTGAATACATTTTATAAATATTATCATACTTTGTGAACATACTATAAATCTACGAGATCTATTATAATTTGTGAACATATTGTCAATACCAACTAAATCTAAACCTACAACTTGTGAATCTCATTTGAACCTTGTGAAGACAAAAATCACAGTAAAAAATTGTTAAGATTGTTTATATTGTGTTCATCTTGTGTGCAGTTATTTAATTATATGTGTGTATGATAATACAAAGATAGGTGAGAGTAGATGAGAGCTAGAAACAGATAAATCAATATGTACGAAAGAAATTTCCTAAAAAAGTGCATTAATTTTTGTTTAATAAATAATGATAATTATCTTCTTAATTATCTCATTAATTAATAATTATCTCATTAATTAATAACATTAATTATCTTAAATTAGTGACTTAGAATGGATCTCCCAAATCTCATAAATTTTGGAGTTCTCAAATGATTAAGTCCCATGAATAAAATACGGTTTTGTTAAAAATTACGATTTACGTCTATATTTTTTTGAAATTACAGTTTTTGGTTCCAGTATTTTTCAATTCATTATTGTTTTTCGTCCATGAGGCTAGGCTAGCTTCGTCAATTGTTTACAATTAAGTACGCAAGATGAAAACAACAATGAAGTATAAACCGTAGAACAAAAACATCGATGAATTATATAAATTATAAATACAAAAATAACAACAAATTATAAATTTTAATATTAGCCCAGAAAGTGTTTGATGGGCTTTTCTAAACTGTTGTTTGTTAGAATAGAACCACGTGATACAAAAAATATAATTCATGTAGAAGGTATTAAATCATTTTCAATATCAAGTATATTCAATTTTTAACATTAAATAAAAAATATCATAAATCAATAATGTTACATTAATTTTTTTGTATTTCATAATATCATTTTAATGCAAAATCCATAATGTTTATTAGAGAAGATTAAGGACCGTTTACGAAATATTTATCCAATAAATGCTTAACATTATTATTTACTTACTGGGTAAGATAATCAATTGAAATATGATACATCATTTTTTGGTAAATATGATACATAAATTAATATGTGGTTCAGTATGGTCTCAAACTCGTAGTCTTATTATTATTCAAAGCGGCATAATGGAGTTTGACAAAAGAAAAATACAAATCATAATTGTACAACAAAAGTTGTAAACTGCAAAATTTGACCAAGGTACAAACGATTTATACCGTTTGATAAATAACTGAAGACTGTCTTTGGGGTATGCAATCCTCCTTCAATTCAATTTTTATAGTTAATAAAATAAAGACCTTCATATACTTTGGTATAAAACTATAAATTAAATAACATAGCCCCTATAAAAATTACACGTATTTCTAAGAAGAGTTTGCTTCAAGGCAACAATCTCTCCATCCATATTTGACTCATGAAAGCTATCAATATCTTAATCAAAAAGACATTGAAAAAGTTAATAAGCTAACGTTATAATAAAACTTAGGTTTTTGGGATTCTATCCTGTAAGATCACTGGAGATTTTCCTGACTGTTTTTCAAGGTTTCTAACTGACCGAGATTGATCGAGATGCATACAAAATAACCCGACACTCGTAGTTAAAAAAATGCTTAAAATTTCTAGACATTACACGTATGTTTGTCACAAAAGTAAGACTCCACCACTTTGTGAATAAACAAATCATATTCCTTCGCTGGAAAAAGAAAAAAGAAAAAAAGAAAGGGTTGGAGAAGGGAAAAAGCAACAACACAAAATCAAATGACTCACATCCATCATTGCAATCAAATACTACTTAATTGCCTTCTTAAACAAACCCCAATCTTTGATGATTGTTGACCACAAAACCATTAAGACTTAAAAAAGCATCCATTCATAATTTGGTGCCACTTCAACATAAAGCAATTTCATTATCAAATTTATAGCTCATAGTGCTCACATGGACCCACCAAATTAAAGCAAATAAATTCTTATTAAATCACTTCAATTCCATAATCATATATTCAATCAGTTCCATTTACTGTTTACTGTTTACTCTTTACTGAGAATCAAGACATAAAAGATTTGTATCAATCAGTCATTGATAAAGAATTCAACCATCAAAGGATAGGTGTGGGATTAAAGTTAGATGCTCTTTCTATTCTAGGATCAATCTCTCTTTCTTTCTATAACTTCTATAAAGCTTAGAACTTACAAGTTAAAGGGTCTTTCTTATGTTTTTCTGTTATATTTTTACTAAAACTATAAATAAAATGGATGAGTTCTGTTATATTAGGGTTGAGTTCTCGTTAGACCAACGTGAAATTCGTAAAACCAGCTGTGAAAGCACAAAAACACAATGAACCTTGATAGTTAAGACTTTGTCAAAGTAAGAAACAAACATTCATAGTGTTTTTGTTGTGAACGTTCATTGTTTTCTTGTACATTCACAGTGTTTTGCTGTGAAGATTAAGTGTTATTTTGTGGTTTCACGTATCTCAAGAAAATAAGCTGGTCTCACATGATCTCAAGTTTTACTAATTAAAACAACAAATATGTGACAAAATAACATATGAAATTCACTTGAATAGAATCACTATTTCGAAGTTGGAATCAGGATTCGTTAAATCGGCTAAAATAATGAAAACCTTAAGCATTATAATTGGACTAACAATTAAAACATATATAAGTGAATAAAAGCTAAAACATGTGTGTAATAACCCTTTTTCCATATCTCACCTTAGAAAAAGGTGGGTGGGGATCCAATCATTCAAGTTGTTCATGCTTTTCCTAAAAGTGCTCTCACTCACTCATCACTATGTGCATGCTTGGTTGGTCTTAATTAGTGTTCACCCAACATCTCTTCTCCTCAAAAAGTCATAAACAAGGGCTGCCCTTTTTATATTCCCCAACCCTCATATAACAGACTTTTAATGCATCATATATAATTTCTTTCAACATCTTTGGAATTTAAAGCTAGAAGTATCAGAAAAATTACCATATTAATAACCGGCTTCTGGTTGTCAAGTGGTATCTTAGCTCCGTTATGAATCCAAGAACCTAAAACATGAACCAAGAAAAGAAATGTTCAAATTGTCCGTCATGAAATCTGGCCGAACTGTTTACATTCTGATGTGTTAGTGTTACGATTTCATACGAAGAGGGGAATTACGAAAATACCCCTAACCCTAGGCATGCATAGTATATATGAAAAGTGAAACTAAAAGACATATGCAAGCAATGAACTTTTATGCATCATAAAGGATCAATCAGTCATTCATGGTTGGCTACCTTCCAGAATGCACAAACACATATGGTCCCTTCACCCCCACCCCCTCTCTCCTGTGTCCAATTGACAATTATTTCTTCTTCATTTCCTTGTTTCTTTCCACGTAATTCCTTTTTTGAATCGATTATTGTAATTACTTATAAACTATGCATTAAAAGTTGTACATTGTTTTCGGTTTCTGGGGTCGTGTAGTGTCACTTTTCCATTCATTCTTTAACCTCGGTCTACCCACCAATATTCCCTAAGTATCTATATATAGAGTGAGTTATGTAGCCTCTAGATATCACCCCTACATACTCTTGTTCACAATTTGGTTTAAAAATGAGGACAATGAAAGATTTAGGAAGGGAAAGGGGACCTTTAGGAATGCATATAATCAACACTGCAACCACCGTTGACTGCAGCAACAGGGAGGTTGGACTTCGCCGCTCTCTCCGGTCACTGCTTGACTGCATCATCCCAGCTTGTTGTGCGGCTGGTTTTGAACCTCATTCTGTGGCCGGAAACTTTTCTCCGGATTCTTCTTCTTCTTCGTCGACTTTCTCGAGTGATACGGAATCACCGTCATCGTCATCATCCACCACCGTAAGTGGTTGTTGATTAAACATCATTTGCAAAATCTTTCTTTAGGTTGATAATGCAAATTGATTGATCTTTGTGAACATATGATTGTGTAGATTCGTTCGTTGTCGTCATCCTCCACCACCGTTAAGGGTACATTCTTTGGACAGCGGAATGGTCGGGTCAGCTTTTGTCTACAGGATGACACGCACCACCACCACCACCACAGGCGGACCCCATCAAGGAGAATGACGACCACCACCGCCCTGTCGTCATTCTCACACCCTCTTCTACTTTTGGAATTCGCTATTCCTACATCTTATTTAGCGAAAGAGATGCAGCATGGTCTCCTCCGCATTGCACTGGTGGAGGAAAACAGTACTCATCGACAGCAACTACCAACAAAAGGTGGTGGTGGGATATTTGAAGTGCCTGTGTGGTCTATGTACTGCAATGGTCGGAAAGTTGGTTACGCCACCAGGCGTAAGATGACGGCTGCCGACACAACTTCTCTTACCCGTATGCAATCGGTTTCTGTTGGAGCAGGGGTTTTGCCGCCAGAAAATGACCATGGTGCTGACGGGATCATGTACCTCCGAGCCAGTTTCCGGCGAACCATTGGATCACCAAACTCAGAGTCATTTCACATGATAAACCCCGACCATGATAGACGATCATCCTCTGATAGTCATAGTGCTGGGCAAGAGCTCAGTATATTTCTTCTCAGATCATCTTCTTAATGGAAATACATTTCTATATCCAGTGTTTATGCTATATATATGTATGTGTGTGTGTATACATACGCATCTAGTTACACTAAGTATTTACTGTAAGTATGCCTTAATCTAGTTCCTAAATCAGTTTCGAAAACCTCACCATCTGAGCCTTCCGTTACAGCTTCTAAGGGACATAATCGGATTTCATTTTCTGCTTTTGTACTTCCTGTTTTGTGTTGTATTATGTGTGAGGAAGACTGATGAGCACTCATCCTCTCATTAAACGGAACCAAACTAAACCAAACCAACCGAGCCGAGTATATCCCACCCGGAGTTAGGGTCTTTGGGGGATAAATATATATGCAGACATGACCTCTACTCTAAAGAGTAGAGTGGTTGTTTCCTACTATAGCTCCAACTCAAACAGATAAATTCAATTGTAGACAGATAAAGATAAACCAAATATCCATATATCAGAAATACCACAAACCTTGGGAGACTTTGGGGTGTAAGGCTCCAGAACTTGATATATATCTTCAATTTGGATTTTGATTCTGCATATCTCTCAACAAGTGTCTTGCAGTATTAAGTACCATATTAGATAAAATACAACTGATTAAAGGTAAGTGGTAGGAAATCGAAAGATTGAAGATATTATCCTAATAAAATGTATGCTTTTGCATTTCACACATGGCATGAAGAAGCATCATGTGGAAAAATAAATTCATATCAGATCTTGTATGCTAGCTAATCCAAATACAAGTGTTGAAGATCAAATATTTTTATAATCAAGTTGAGGGTGGATACGAGACACTTGAGGGGAACTTTATAAAGATTATTCCAACTACGGAGATGAAAAGGAAACGGGAAAAATACTTCTAATTTCATGAGAAACCGATACGAGTTGTTGAAAGTGAACATAATACAGTTCTTGAGGCCAAAGCTAGGATGGAATTTCCATGTTAAAAGAAGAGAAGCCGTCAATAATGCAGATCATTTATACCAGAAATTATGTATATGAAATTCAATCAAAGCATTAAGCATCCATTGATGATGCATCAGGGTATGCATTATGAGTGGACAAAATCTAGACAAAAGGGTATGTGATGATAGACTGGAATATGGACACTAGGTGTCCAGGAATAGTACTAAAGAGAAAAACCTTTGGTGTCTTTTTTGTTGGTTTCTTCTTGAAAACAAGCATCGTTCTTTCGTCATCCTATTATTCTCCATTGACCGACATTGCCCCCACATTGCAATGGAGCCAGCCACACGTTCAATCTGGTTCCCACTTTGCCCCCAGATTGGGTCTTGTTCAATCAATTCAGTTCCCCATGACACACAGAATTAAAAAAAAAACATTTAGCTACACAGGTGAGTGTTGTCATTTCACCTTTTCCTTTTTCATTCACTCTTTTTCTGTAGTTCTCCTCTAGGATTTTTGTTCTGGGGTACTACAACTGCAGCCTGGGGTACAGGTTTTATTGCATGCTAGGATGATTCGCGAAGGATTTATGGTAGACATAAAAAGAGACATGCACATGCAGATATTGGTCAATTTGTGGATGTTCATGCAAGAGAGTAGAGTCAGTCAACAATAGCACAGTAACACTCCATAACTGACCTTCTCTCTATGATTTCAAGGAGCAAAGATTCTCTTGAAACAGAAGGCATTAAGAATACAAAGATGATGCCATCTTGAATTCTTTTAAACACCAGATCATCTATTATTTAGAATTTTTGTTATTTTTCAGGATCAAAAGGTGCTTAATTAAGAAATAATCAAACACTATGGGGTTCACTGTTTAGACAAAAAGAAGGGTTACAGGTCACTAACCATAGGCAGACTAGTGGAGAATCAACGATTTGGCTTCCTTGTAGAGAGCTTCATGCCATCCTATATTTCATATTCAGCAATGACGACCACAGTTCAGCTCCATTAGCTAGAATTGTTGGCACCCTGGTTTATTAAAATTTACAAAATTATATGAAGATCAACTCTAGATACCGAAATAAATTTAGAAGTATAAAAACCTTGAGGTATAATATTCAGCAGCAACCATCCATTCATTCAAACTAATAAGCAACTGTGTGGTACATGGAATGATTTTTAGCAAATAAGCTTTAGAAGACAGAAAAATACTGAAAGTGATGCTACCTAAAGGTTTTTTCAGTAGCACCAGAATGCATTTCCAGTCATAACTGCGACCAGTACAATAGGATCTCCATACTGCAATCTGATATTACCACCAAAAGACTTTGGCCTTGAATAACTTTTCAAGCAAATTTGGAATATTACCGACGGTAGCACATCTCAGAACATGAATAAGATTTAAGCTATTTATAATTTCATACGTGCTTCATACACTAATGCCCCCCTCTTTTTCATCATGATTAAACAGGGGAAAAATGCAAGAGGCAGTTCAGATGTCTATTCCCAAACCTTTGTTGAGTTTTGCTAATCAAATATTTACATTAAGAAATCTCAAGTCTCCCGGGAAAATATAAACTCTTTGACATGTCATGGGACTTCCCATCCCGTGTAACTTGTGATATCACCAAGGACTACAGCCCGAGCTTGATTAAACTTGTCAGCAACTAGAAAACTGCTTTCATCCATATTTATTTGTTGATCCAAGAAAATTGCTTAATTCTCTGAAAGTCTCAACGATATGGCCGGTAATGCATCAATCCTTCAAGCACTAACTGAGCTTTTGATGGCTTTCAAACTACCTTTTATTGACATAAATTTAAGAAATTGATGGAGAACCGTATACTTGCAATAATCAAGGAGTCTTTTGTCAAAGTTCTTCTGAAACTTCCTTTTGAAATAGAATTTTGGCTTCCTGTTCAGGCCACCTTGCAGAGATAGGGTTGGTTTGATATTTTGATTCTGTAATATGTATGTGGGTATATGGAAAGTCACGTCATGTTGAGGACAATTCGGATTTCTCATTCATATTCATCTCACCACTTCCCATTTTTGGCTCACAGAAGTCAGATTATGTCATTCTGTTAAACATATTATTAGAAAATTCAAGTCATATTATCCCTATGATTTACATATTTTTTGTTATAAAAACCAACAAATATCAGTTATATTACATGGAAGACTACAGTAGATCAGATATTGTTATGCAGCCAAGTATGAATAAAGATATAATGGCCTACAACTTTAACTTTATGCTTACAACATTTATGTGTTGATGTTGAGTCTTTCCTTTGTCTTTGTCCATTTGGTAAAACAATCAGGAGACATTAAACAAAATGACATATAAGCATAACATGTGCAAGTTATATGTGGTAAACACCAACCTTCCAATTGTCATGCTATTTACTTAGTAAAATGGCAATCAAGCTTCAGGGATGTAAACGCTCATCCAAAAGATCTTAGAACAAAAATATAGAGGATGCCGGATACGTGCATTATTCATTCAATGAAAGATCATCAATTTATGCATCAATTTTATGATATGGGTATTTTATTAAAATCATAAATTGATCACCAAAATAATCCTCAAAAAAGAAGTGAACTACTGAAGTACTACCATCAACTCAATTCTTAAGGCATCGCCATCAAAGTTCTATTAGATTACTGTAGTCAGGTTGGGAATTGTACTTGCTAAATGCTTAAGAAACATGTAAAGCAATTAGAATGAGAGGAAAGAATACACTTTAAATTCACATCGCAGTTAGCAAAGAGGAATACCGGTGCTAGCTATTGGTGTGTCTTAACAATCAATACCTATAAAGATCGAATCCACAATCTCCTATTCCTTAAAGTGTTCCAATATATATGTCGCATAATCCTGCAAGTTCGATAGCATAATTCATTCCGGAAATTCATCGAACACCTTGTGTGCATCTGCATTCAAGTTTTATTTGCTCGACTCTACTTTTAATGAAACCAGTTGAGGTTTAAAGATTACGCATTACTACTACGTAGAGGGAAAGAGAAGTAGAGAACCCACATCCACATAACCTTGATCCTCAAGAAACCCATTGGTACAAAGCCTCCGGCCATACATATCCAGGTATTCCCTTCGAAACGAACCATCTTTATCCCCAACAGGAATCTTCGGTTACTTTCACTGCTCTTCAAAACTATTGACATTCTGCAAAAAGCTTACTAGATTGAGCATTTTGCGAACCTTCAAATATCATCAAAACATCGTAGACGCACTTACACCATATAATTGCAGAAGGAACAAGAAGAAAAAAGAGACCGCATTCACGGATTGACCGCATAATGCAGCAGGAGAAGGTGTTTCAAGCTACAAGAGATGTCAAACAATTTATTACTTATGGTAGTTTTGCCATTACCTAAATCTTCAGGGTCTATTTTGTAACTTTCCCGAAGGCAGTTACGAGTTAGTTATAGTTCCTCCATCCGCCCCAAAAGTCAACCTTAAGGGTGAAATTGTTCTTTTGTTAAGTTAAAAATGTAATAATTATATATTGAGAAAAGTCTAAAAAAACCTAATGGACTTTAGAGTTTGTAATGATTAAGTTTTTGGACAATTTTTTGAAACAAAAAAATCTTTGGACATTCCAAAACCTGTTAAACAACTTATTGGACTTTCTAAAACTTGTTATATACATCCTTATGACATATAAAACTAATTAACATAGTAAAATAATGAAAAAAACATGAAAAAAACCAATGAACACTCATATTTTGAACGATAAAGTCCATGAACATTTTTTGAACAAAAAAAATGCTTACATTATATAAAATAAAACAAATATACCAAATTTAAAAAAGATTATTGATTAAATTTATTTTAATTAAAAATAAAAGATATTATATTAGTGATTTTTCAAATTGAAAAAATAAAATAAAATATTAAAAAGGTTTACTGATAATA